TAGCCTTGTATTCTTTATATTTAATAAACGACTCTTTGACTATAAACTGTTTAGATATTCCCCCTCTAGGGTAATTCTTACAGGCAAGGTTTATCTCTCTTTCATGTTAATAAGTTATTATTGTTATTGTCTTTCCCCACGAACTGCCTTAGAGAAGGGTATAGTTTCGGAAAGAAAAGAAGCTATACTTACCTCTTGGACACCGCATATACCTACAAAAGGATTCCCTGTGCCGTGTCGTCATTACAGAGTAAATTAAGAAGGCTACCACTCTGTAACACTACTAAATATAGTTAATTCTGATTAAAAACCTATAGCTAATACAAAGATATAAATACTAAAAACTACATATATAAGTTGGATAATTAATAATTGTAAAGGCAAGAAAGAATTTTTGATACAAAAATTGGTAATCTAATACAAATTAATTTGTCTATTTATATTATATTTAGTATTTTTGATATTATTTTAAAAATTTTTTATTGAGTAGATAGAATAATAATTACTAATCATCAAAGATTTGAGTAAAAAGTTTTTATATGTTAATCACTAAACATTCTAGTATTTCTATCTATTATCTGTTTATTTGCTTATCTATAAATATTCAAATATCAAATATATAATCGAATAAAATAAATAAATATATAAATATATAATAGCTAATATTATAGTTGATTTAATAGTTGATCTAATAATTAATACAAAAATAGTATAAGATTAATAGTTAATTATCTAATGTTAATATAACGGGTTTTATGTTTGATATAGTAATTAATAGCAAAGATTTTTATCAATTTTTAATAGCTGCTCTGCCTAGTCTGTTGAGTATAATTTGAATTTGTATAAGAGAAGCACCTACTTGCATTATAAATACAAATTTAAAATTTTAATTATATAATATAGTTGAATATTTGCAATATAGAAGAATACTCTCATTATTCAAATCTAGATTAAAAATTATATATTTTTATATATAACTTTTTTTTACTTAAGTAATCTATTTTTTACATTTAAGTAAAGTTGTTCAAAATAAAATTTTGTATTTATATAGTTTGTCAATTTTTAATTTCTTTAATATTTTATTATTGAATCAAAGTTTTTATTAAAAGAAATAATTTTTTGCCAAAAGTTTTGATCTAATTTTTTATTTAGTTAAATGTTAAAGAAATTAAAAATTAGTAAACTATATAAATGCAAAATTAATTTAAAACAACTTTACTTAAATATAAAAATAGATTACTTAAATAAAAAAAAAGTTATATATATAAAAAATATATAATTTTTGATATTAGTATATATATAACTTATTTTTTTACTAAGACAACCTATTTTGTTACTTAGAAATACTTTGTTTAGCATAAATTTTACATACAGTTCTTCTTTTAAAATTAGTAAATATTTGATTTTAATAGAGTTGTATATTTAAAATTTGCAAATTTTACAAAATTTTAATTTGAAATTTAGAGCATTTTTATTTGCCTTTTCTTGATATATTTGATTGTAAAATTTAATTTTAAATTAATATGTAGATGAAAAACATCACAAAATCAGAGTTTATAGCAAAAAATAATACACCATACAAATTGTATAACTGATAACTAACAGTACTTAAGATTGTATTAAAATTAGGGTTAATTATTAAAATTAGGATTAATTACATTAAATTAAAGTGTAAAAAAATAAAGTTAAAAGAAGAATTTGGAAACACTTAAGTAGAAAAACTATTCAAAACTTGTAAATATTGTAGAAAATAAGCTAAAGAAAAAGAATACAATTCTTCAAAGTACTAACAAACCTACAAGCAAGAAAAGTAATTTTAGAAATAACTAAAGAAATTTAAGAATTTGAAAACCTTCAAGAATCATATTTCTAAATTACCATGGAAGCACCCTCCCAGAAATGAATTGGATATAGAAATAGTGCTTGGCAAAAACTCGATTATCGCATTAAATACAAATTTTTATATAGTTTATATATAAATCTAACAGGAATCTGATCTTACTTTAGACTTTGTGGTAACTAACATGAAGTTTAAAGTCAGATTAGAGTAAACATGGATTTTATAATTGAAGCACAATACTATAAATCGATAGATTCAAAAACTCGATAATTGAGTTTTTGTTTAATTTTGCCAAGCACTATATAGAAATACCCAAGCTGTAATAAATACTCTTCATACCTCAACTTTAAAGAAACCAATACAAATAATATTACTACATATTGTAATTACTGTCAAAAATATAGAAAATCATATAACTACTAGACTAAATAATCCAAAATATCAATCTACTATTAAGAAGATTAGTATGAGCAATAATATTCAAGAAGATAAATAATGTATAAAAAATATTATTATTTATGAGAAAGAATTCTCACAAATCATAATGAAAACATTACTAAGGACTAGGAGGAAAAGAAAACCTAGATGCTAATAAAAAAGCATCAAAGAATGCAATGACTTGAAAAGTAATCAAAGAAGCTAATATTCAACTAGACCAGAAAAGCTAATTAACATATGAGAAGAAACTGCTTTAAGTGAATTAGAATGGACATCCCAAAAAGATTGCCTTATGATAAAAGCAAAATATAAAATAGAATGAACTGTATACATATATGCAGCTAAAGACTAGATAGAATTTGAACAAATGGAACCTGACAAAGCTATTCTCAATATTGTTATCATACCAATTTAGGAAATACCTGTAAAATCTATCTGACCAAGTAAATTGATGTTTAAGCCTGGAAAGTCTTTGATTATCTGGACCGGACTTGTTCTGGTTTGTGGTTCCACAATGCGCATTACCATTCTTAGCATCTTTTCGATCTGTTGACTTTACTTCAACTCAAAAAACTGACCTATCGGATTACTCTAAAATTTAGGTTCACTATCGGGTGATACAAAATAAAATTTACAAAAAATAAAAATTATAGAATAATTAAAGTAATTAGAGCTTAACATAAAACTTTTTTTTGAAAAATTGGGTCAACGAGTTATGCAAAATGAAAAAATTAACTTTGTGTGGCCTAAACTTTAAAACTGTAATCACAACATAGCAAAAACTTCATTAATCATGTAATCAAAGTTGACCAATGAAATTAATCAAATATTCTTGGGGCATATATGAGTTTGTTTAAATCTTCTCGTCTGAATTCAAAATGTTGACATTGACCCGCTAATTAACTTTGAGCAGCCTAAAAAGAATTGACGAGATCAGGAGGTCCAAAACACGTTAACTTTAAACGGGCTTAGCATGTAAACAATGCAAGTCAATAAACTTTGTCCGTGTTTATTTATTGTGTTTGTTTAAATTAACCCTCTTTTCCCACGTCTTGGCCTAAAATATTGACATTAACCTAATAACAGCCTTATATTAATCTCATAAATAATGTATTATTTGACATATGTGAATTTCTCAATAAATAAAGGGCTTGTTGCCCATTGCAATGATGGATTCCAACTGTGAAATTCCAAAAATACATTGTCCCTATAATTCTTTTCCCAATAATCAACTAAGGTCCATAGTAGAATCGTCATTTTCCATCTGATAATCATGCATACGTGATTGTTGCACTTACCCCCAAGGTGTTGACAACCGAGTCTTGCTTTATCTATTTGCAAAATATAAATGTCACTTTCAATAGATTGCCTTTATTTGTGGTTTGTTCGGTTGGATTAGTGTATTCCAGGTGAACCATTTTTCCCGCATAACTCAAGTTATTTCATAGACTCATATTCTTGGTTTTGGTGGCAGTATCGTGCAGCTATCTTATTAGATAACACAATATTACAAAGCATATAAATCATTTTTTAATTTTGGTACTTGACTAACTTGGTGACTTGGTAAACACTATAGATGCTGGTGAAATTAATTTCACCAATTTTACCAATTCACCACCAATTCACCAATAGTGGTAAAATTATTCCACCACACTTTACAATATTTCACCAGCATCTATAGTAACTACTCAATTTGCTTAAATTTTTTTTTAGATTTATTATTCTGAGATCGATGCATTTTATAAAATATTAATAACAGGAACTAATTTAAATATATAAATTTTCGGAAAAATCATACATTTATTGGTATATAAACATACATAGACGTAATGTAAATTATTAAGAGAAGAGCCATTGGCATATGAATTAGCATGAATAATACAGCACTTAGCATATACTAAATAATAATCTCCTATATAATTTTTTTTAGTTGAATAAAAAAAAGAATTTATTATGTGTTAATGTTATGTATAGTAAAATAAAGAGTTAGATTTAAAACTCTTTAAATCACAAATAAATAATAAATTTGTACTAAAAAAATGGGGTTGAGTCAATAGAAATCAAGCAAATATTTTTTAATAAGTTTTTTTTAAAACTTTAAACAAGGATAACTTAACAAAAACTTAATCAAATTTAATAATTTTTTTAAATTAATTCTACAAGTTTGTATAAATTATTTTATTAAGTTTTTGTTAAGTTATACTTATTTAAAGTTATGAAAAAGTTTTATTATAAAAAATTTGCTTGATTTCTATTGACTCACCCCTAAATCATGAAATGAATATCACTTTTTCATCAGGAAATCCTAGCTTTCCTAGGCTTATTCTGATGCTATCCATCATAGGTTGAGGTCCACAAACCATGACCCTTAATTCCTGTGAATCATCTTTTGTCAAAAGATTTATATATTCTTGTCTCTCATGCATTTTCAACAATACACTTGTTGGTGGTCGTGTATTTGTTCCTCTATTTGATATAATAGAATGCCCTCGAGTTAATGAAGTATCTCCAAATTCTTCATCATCAGATGTATCTTCAAAATCAATTTCACTCGTGTAGTTATTCCGATAGGATGTGGGTGACCGTGAAATGTTTGAAATTTCCGGCGGTTGTTCAATTTTGTAATTATTACTCATCCAATGGTACAATACATTGTCATCAATATGTCCCACATAGCCATCCCATGATGGTGGTGCTTTTGTCAGAACAAAATCTATTGTTAATTTTTCATCACTCTGTTCTTGAAGATACAAAAGGTAGTTATAACTGATAATATCTTCAATTGAATTATTTGAAAATAGTAGATGAATTTTAAATTCAGCACTTAATTCTTCTGCTTGATCCAGGTGATATTGGATCTACACAAAATTAATTAAATTATTAAAGACAAAAATTTTTTATAGAAATAGGTAAATTAAAAAAAGCTTACCAATTGAAGTCCAGGTGTTATGCCTAAATTTATATAGAATATAAACAACGTTAAAATATAAAAGAAGCCCAATAAAAACGGTTGAAATTAAAAAATGTTTAAATTGATAATCTACCTGTACCCCCGCAGATAAGGAATAGACAATCCCAACATTTATCATCTCTTCTATGATTCATTAAAAGTCTTGGTTGTGTTGGAGAATCTTTTTCGCTTTCACTTTCTGTTGCTGTTGCAGGTCGTAACCTACTGTTAACAACCGAAAATGTTTGTGTACCATGACGTGTAGACGATCTATATCGTAAACCTGTTGGTTCAAAGTTTGGAATGATAGATGAAGTCGGTACAATTCGGTCAGAAACATCAAATGGCCTTCGAACAGCGATCTCAAAATTTTTGAGTTGCCTATGCTACATATTAAAATAATAATAATTACAATATAAAAATAAATAAATAAGGATATAAGAAGTTAACAGCAACATAGAACTATAGAATAACAATTTTACCAAATGTTGGGACATAACACCATCTTTATAAATCTTTACAATAATTGAAAAGGTATTTTCGTTGGGTCCTTTAAGTGCTGTATATTGTCGAACAATAGTTGTCTTGTTTGAATAGCTCATAACTTCAATATAATCACCGGGTAAAATTTTTGGTAATTTATCAAATGGATGAATGATTTGGAAAGTAAATTTTTTAACAGGATTTTCGGTATCATATCTTGTAACTTCTTCGACATTTATAAGAATGTATCTTCTAAATACAATTGCAGGAATTTTTGGTACTTCAATTGTTTTATTTGTATATGGAATTATTCCATCAATAATTGGGTTCTCAAACTTTTCATGCTCATAATCAATAATGCGCCCTATTAAAAAAAAATTTTGCAAATTAATTTTTGCAGTATCTCAAAATTTTTAAATAATATCTAGAAATATATTTAAAAGTTTTGCTTCTTACCTACGATCATAGTTGCTAATCTAGAAGTTGCAAATTTAGAATGTCTGTGCATTGCAACTCGAGTGTTTTTAAAGGTTACACAATTAATCATATCAATTGTCATTGCAGCTGATTTTGGAACATAAGAAGCAATTTTCTTACGCTTCAATGGAATGTTACCATCTTGTAATGAAGCTTCTGTAGGTAATGCATTTAAAAGTTTATCCTCTTTATCAAAGGTTTTGGTAATGGACATTTGTACATTTGGATCAAAAAAGAAATCGTTGGTAATATCTGTTCCAATCTTTAAAGAATTTAATTAATAAGTTAAATAGATTATTATATGAATAATTTATAAAACCTAAGATTGAAAAAACAATTTAATACCACTCTGCGTAAAATTCTTTGTCCACCAGGATGAACCCTTATCCATTTATTAATATCAAATACTAATCCTTCTGCCACGACAAGGCATGCTCCAGTAAAAATTTTTTCATTAAATTCCTATAATATATATAAATTACAATAGGAAATAATATTTTTATTTAATTGAGAACATACATTAAATATGTTACTTACTTCCCATGTATGAGTAGGGAGTAATGCATAAATTTTTTCAGGAATTCTACTGTGAAGTCGTGTATTGGCCATAAGAATTGTAGATTTTTAATCTTGTAATAAAATTCACTGGCGAAGAAGGCTATGGCCAAAAAGACTACAAATTACAAAATTATCGATAGCACAAAAAATTTTATATGGATTATTTTCATAACTTAAATATATAATCAATATAGTTTTTTTAAAAAAATAACTCACCAAACCAAGCCAAGTAAAGAGAGGTCACTACAGTTACATCAACATTATAATTTTGTCCGAATTGAACCATTCCAAGGTACACATTAACCCTATTTTAAATTTATAAGGTTTGAATATATAGTTAGAATATTTTTTAAAACATAAGAATTAAAGAATTATAATAATTTTCATACAATGCAAAGGCCATAACTGCCGCTCCCATATAAAAATGCATATATTTTAACCAGCGTACTATCCCGGTTACTGAAAATTTTATATGTAAATATATGATTAAATAGATTTATGAAGGATATTAAATTTCAACTATATTTACTTACCTGCAGATTCAACATAAGCCAATCCAAACATTGCCTATAATCCAAGTCCAACTTGAACAACTAAAATTGTATAAACCGTGGTACCAAGTCTAAATACAATTTAAAAAGATTAAAATTGTAAACATAATTTTACTGTACGTATATTCGAGGCTAAGTCTAACTGTTTATATAATCACATGAAACAATACGTACATTCCATGAGGAACTCTAAATTGGATTGTAACTGAAGACATCGCTACAGCTCCAAATATTCCAACACAAATAGCGCCAAGAATTTGAAGGTTACGATGCTGCGAATAATTAATAATAAAAAGAATACTTAAGTGAGCTTGATAAGCCATATTTTTTCTGAATATATACTAAAAAGCATACCTTAAACATGTATGTATCCCTATGTCTCATATACCTAACAATCCATATTGATACTAAGTTGGTTGTAGAAAAAAACACAATATTTACAATATTTAAATTATTATTTTATGTTAAATCACATAAAAATAATTATCAGAAACTATTTGATGAAATACCCGGGAATAAGACACTATTAAAAATAAAATGTAAATGTAAGAATTTATAAATGACTATTAATAATCTAAAAGTCGAATAACTATAACACAATTCACGTACCACCAAATTAAAAACATTCCAATTCCGTGGGTCAATTGCATATCTCTACTATTAACAACATTAGTACCAACAGAAGTTTGCCTGTAATGAAATTGACTAGCATGAGACCTCTATTTCCACCATGGTAATTTAATTGATAGCTGTTAGGATTAAAGGCAAAGATTGCTATAGAGGAATTTCATAATAAGGTGTCTCATTTTCTCAAAAAAATAACGCGTAATATAAAAAACTAAAATAACGTACTTTTTATCGAGGAAGCAGTAATTGGTTTTCGATTAGGTGCACTAAGGGGACGTTTAAATTCCACTTGAGTGAATCCGTCTGTAATTATAATAGTAAGAAATTTAGCACTATCGTCTTTAGTAGGACGTTGGTAACCAGTAGATTTGTAAACTCCAACGTATATGCCTGATGAATCTGTTGAATTAACTGATATGATTGTCATATCAGCGTTCTATGAACAAATATATTTATTGACTTTTTATTAATACAAGTCGCAATAGTTTGGATGAAATTAAATAAACCATATTTTTAAAATATACCGTCATGCCATTATCTGTAGGGTTGAAACCAATACCACACCAGCCATTCGAACTTTGTAATGTTATTAAAAAATAAATATCAGAACCATCAATTCTCCATTGAGCTTGATATGTATTGGAAAACTTTAAGACATTAAACTGAGGATAAGAATTATCGGTGGTGGTGACATTTGGAATAGCGGCAGGTTGAACTATCCATATATTTGATGGCAAATTTGCAGTGGCTGGTATATTCCGACTAATCACCATTGCTAATGTTGTATTATGAATTAAATTTATTTCATCTTGAGTAAATCCAGCTTCCGGAGATTCATACCTATCATTGGTATTAATAATATGATTTTTAAATTATAAATTTTTGAACAATTAACATTAATTTAACAATTATTTAACAATTAGTTAACAATTATTTGACAATTAGTTAACAATTAATTAACAATTAATTTAACAATTAATTAACAATTAATTTAACAATTAATTTAACAATTAATTAACAATTAATTTAACAATTAATTAATAATTAATTTAACAATTAATTAATAATTAATTTAACAATTTATTTAAAAAATTAATTTAACAATAAATTAACAATTAATTTACTAACCAAAATCTATCAAAATCACGTATCTTAGTAAACTGTATATTAATAAAGTTTACATGATTATTCAATGTATAATACAATGTTCGTCTCAATACAGCAATACAGTATAAAATTTATTCAAATCACCTGATCCGAATAGCTAGCAAAAAATAATGGGCCAAGATTTGATCATTAACATGATCCTCAGCAAGACCTCCTGGAAAAACTTCAACTAGATTAACATAACCATATGTATCTTGTAAGCGTTGTTGAGTAACTGGATCTGACGAAATATCAGACCAATTTTTAGCTCGACATAAGTTGAAGACTTCTCTAGCATCGTTATATAATAGGATCCCGTGATCGCGAGCTCTAAAAATATCGAAACTAATATCGAAAATACCAATTAATTTTTATATATTTGCAACCAATTCAAATTCATTAAATTAAAGTTTTTGATTATTCACCTTGCTACATCAATGAGTTCAGATCGGTACATGAAATTTCTCATTTGATCACAAATAAATATATCAACTTCATCTTGCCTATAAATATAATGAATAAGTAATTAATAAATGGTTCAAGATAGTGTCAAATTTATTTATAACAACAAACAGAATATGTGAAATTACACATCAAGAGCAATCGAAGACGCAAGCAACGGAACACCATAAGTCTCACTATAAAATATATAATATTAAGAGTTTAAAAATTCAACATAAAAGAATAGTATGTGTATTTACAGTAAGTAAGGTTCTTGAAGCTGGTTTAATTTCAGAGTAGTGGTCACGTAACCATTATTATCGACAATACAGTACTCATCACTTTATAGTAAAATAGAGAATATATAAATATTTATAATTCTGTAAATTGAGAGAATTGCTAAAATGATAATTACCTAACTTCACTATGACCGTATCGCATTGACGTCTAAGTTTAATAACATTAAACAATCATTTAAATTATACATTCATAATAAATAAATTTTTATTACTCTTTACATTGAAAAACTCTTACTGTGACAAAGAATGTCGCATTATAGCCCGTATAAGTTGGGAGCGGAGTACCCAAGAGAATACCAACTGAACCGACACAAGGTAGGTAAAATGTTAAGAGGGTTTACTGAAAAAAAAAACATTTATAATTTAATTGATACTTGCCATATTCATAAAAAGTTATCTTTTGTATAATTGCAATAACCCATTTTCGTGCCTCTTAAAGTATGTTTCATCGTCCCAATTGGCATGATTAATTGCATATAATTCGGTTGTGCTCACGTAAGAAAACAGTGTATAACATATCTATAAGTAAATATATTATTTATATATTTAAAAAATATCTAAAATAATATAAAATTTAATAAATTTTATAAGATAAATTTTACTTACCAGAAAAAGCATTTCTACTTTCGTTTGGAGTATATCTGTTTATTATTTTAATAATTATTTTTTTCGATTAATAATTGATTATTTCATAACAATTAATTATTTTTTCAATTTTTACTATACCCCAAAATATAATCGAAGCCGGCTTGATCCTATATTTTTAAATCTTTTATTAAAACATTATTTCTTACAATATCGGCACATTTTAAGAAAAAAACGGCCTACTCGTGGTGGATAACCAAAGGCGTAATCATCTGATATTCCGCTTGTGTTAAGTTTCATTTTTCCTTTGTTTCCGTAATCACGAATCATTTGAAGTTTCCAATCCTCAACTTCATAAATGTGCGACGCATCAAGAAAAGGTGTGCCTTGATTTCTTCCTATATAATCCGATGAACGATTGATTGCTAGACTTGGCTATATGGTAATATTGAGATAAATCATGTGTAAATTGGATTTAATCATTATTTGTTATTAGGGCTCTGACATTTATTACGTAATATTTTAGGGGGTGGGGGTTGAGCATGTACTATATCAATATCTTACGTTACACAAAGAAATTATATGATTTCTAAATTGGCCAATAATATAGATCTTACGTGGGGGAGGGGGGTAGCCCTTATAGTAAATGGATATTACGTAATAAATGTCAGTGCCCTTAACAGAATTTTCAATTAATATCTTAATTGGATTAATTGTAAGATTTGGACCCTGATAATAATTATTCTGTGATTGATAATTATTATCATCTGCAGGAATATATATTGACTCATTTGGACCTATATCAGGTTTCAATGCATTGCTAACCTAATTAATAATAAATCAAAATTAATTTTCTATTATATATATTAAAAACAATAATTTAGAAAAAAAAGTAATATGAACTGACATCCATCTTAATAAATGCACCCCTAAAGGTATCATTTATTGTTAATATTTATGAAGAACAAAATAAATTTCATTCTGATGTTAGACTCACCAAAAGGTAACCTGAGTTTAAAGAATAGTTTTTAATATAAAAATATATACTTAATTGATAAAAGATTTTTTTTAAGGTTTACTATATGAGAAACTCTTCTTTTCGATTTAAAATGGTTCAAGAGTGTCAAATTATAAGAATCTTGAGGTTTCAATTGGAAAGAATGAATCTTGTTGCTAACACATCTAGGCAATGGAAAATTGCTAGGTTGTAGGGTATCGATACAGGTTATATTTGTAGTAGGAACAGGAGTAGATATCATGGCAAACGTTGAATTATTAGCATAATAGTATTGTTTCATTTTATCACGCACAAATGACATATTTGCCGCTCCTGTGTTATTCTTATCATTATTAGTCCCATTGAGAGATCTATATTCACCCAGTGCTACATTTTTGAGAGCATAAATGTAAATTAATGCGAGAGTTAACTTTAGTGCTCCGAACGGGTCGGGTCGGGTTGAAAATTTTCGGGTTAGAGCTTCAACCCGAACCGAACCCGACCCGAAATTTTAGGGTTAATATATTAAATTTTTTTTTAAAAATGAATTCAAATAGCCTTTTTTGCTCTTAAACGTTTAATAATTCATGTAACGATGATCATCGAAG